ATATAATAAATGATCTGTGGGGTATTTTGAGCTGAAACTTCACAGACACATTCTGTGGACACTAGAGACTTATATTACATATTAAAATGATTTAAAAAAAGGTTATAAAAGTTATTAAAATAAAATAAAATATAAAATAATTTCTTACAGAACAACACCATTCAAAAGGTTGGGCTTGGAAATATTTTTTTATGTTTTTGAAAGAAGTATCTCTTGCTCACTAAGATTGCATTTATTTGATCACAAATACAAATACATATTATTCCAATTTAAAATGACAGTTTTCTATGTTAATATATTTTATTCCTATGATGGCAAAGCTGAAATTTCAGCTGCCATTACTCCAGTCTTCAAAGAGATTTCAGATGTAACTTTGAGGAAGAGGGAAAAAGTGCAAAAGGAACAAGAAGAGAAACATAAAAAATGAGGTGCTTTAAATAATGAACATCAGGTAAAATATTCACACAAAGCAACAGGACAAAATATAAGTTGTCCTATGTTCATCAATACAACTGCCATTCACAATAACACAGTATAACAATTGTTATGTAATTATTATTGCTTAAAAGTATGCATATTAATGCTGTGTGCCTTCTGATGTGGTTATACTGTACGCGTGAAACTGCTGAAAATACAAGTAAACCGAAATCAGACATACGTTTATGATACAGTTTTGAAAGGTTAAGATAATGAAATTAAGAAGCAGAAGTTACAATAACATTTACAATAAAAGGCATTTGCTATGGAGGAACAAATCCTGTTTAAAATTAAGATTGATCAGCTCTGGCCTGCATTAAAACAGTAGCAGGCAGAGTTTTATTCTTTCAGCTGACTGTAAACACTCCTGCTGTCACTGGAGATGACCGGTTTGGTGAGGATGGTGTAATACAAATGATTCAGTTCAACCTGGAGGAAAATTAAATCTTAAAATGAACATAAATATTGTGTAATGTGTTACCAACTGCCTTACTCACCTCAGTTGGCATTGATTCTTCACTGTTTCCTGCATAACATGACACATCAGATATCAAATAATGATCATAATAGAGTTCAGACTAAGATGAAGATATAGTTTTATCAAATATACCGGGTGGTTGTGAGGGGGGTTGCATGACGTTGATGGTTGAATAAAGCACTGCATCTTCCTCTCCAGTCTAAATAACAAAGAGTGATCTATTAAACAGCGGGAAATATTAAAATGATCCAATTAGCTGCTCTAACAAATGTAATATGATTGAATACTTACTGTGTCTGAACTGGCTGTTGCTAAAGGAAGTCCTACAATGCAGACTGACATTTCAGCAAACCTTGGCCTGTACTTATGTTTTGAGTAAGAAATGGCTTAATTTGGGGGGGAGGGGAGTAAAAACATACCCTGTTTTTTGCTGTTGAATTCGATCCAAATCCTAGTACATTTCACAAATAGAGTTTGTGCACGTTTTCATTCTTTTCTTTTTTTTTTACATTTCATTTTAAAGGAGTAGTTCACCCAAAAAGTTGCTGACAATTTATTCACGCTCAGCCCATTCAAGTTGTAGATGAGTTTGTGTCTTCATCAGAACAGATTTGGAGAAATTTAGCATTAAATCAGTTGCTCACCAATGTATCCTCTGCAGTGAATGGGTGCCATCAGAATGAGAGTCCAAACACCTGATAAAAACATCACAGTAATCCACAAGTAATCCACACCACTCCAGTCCATCAGTTAATGTCTTGTGAAGTAAAAAGCTGTGTTTTTTAATAAACAAATCCATCATTAAGATGTTTTTACAATTCAAACCATTGCTTCTGACTAAAATATTTCCTCTATATGATATTGCTTTCTGCAGTGAAAATGTTATCTAGTCTGAATCAGGAGAGAAATATGCACAAATCAAGCACTGTTTACAAGCAAAAACAGTTATAAACATATATGTGACCCTGGACTACAAAGTCGCTGGGTATATTTGTTGCAATAGCCAAAATTACATTGTATTGACCCTTATGACTGGTTTTGTGGTCCAGGGTCACATATGTGGGTGGATTTTGATGTTAGAGGACAACAGGTGATAGAGGTTTTCTCTGGAGGAAGTGTTATCATGGATTATAGTCTCATATTTTGGCCAGAAGCCAAATGGTTAAAGTGAAAAAAAAAACTTAATGTTTGATTTGTTTCTTACAAATACATGGTTTTAAATTCACAAAATGTTAAAGGGATAGTTCACCCAAAACTGAAAATTCTGTCAATAATTACCCTCATGTTGTTCCAAACCCATAAGACCTTCGTTCATCTATGGAACACAAATTAAGATATTTTTTATGAAATCTGAGAGCTCTCTGATCCTCCATAGACAGCAATGATATTACCACGCTCAGCGCACAGAAACGTAGCAAGGACATCGGTAAAATAGTCCATGTGACATCAGGGGGTCAACCGTAATTTTACGAAGCTATGAGAATAGTTTTTGTGTGCAAAGAAAACAATAATAACATAATAATAAAATGTGCACGCTGTCTACTGAACATAAGCAACGCTGGTTACCTTGATTACGTTCTGGAGTACTCTACAAAATGGCGGAAGACGGTAACTCGGGAACAAGAATTGCTGAATAAATTGTTATTATTGCTTTCTTTGCACATGTGGCAGGGTAGTTAGCCGCTCCCTGTATTGACGTTAGAATATTGTTAGCCTATCAGCAGGCATAGGTGGGTGTATAAAGGGCTGATTTGTGTCAGTCGGAGCTGTTACTCAGGTGCCCTCGCCCCCTTTCTGGTACTGGCGTTCGACACTGTGTGTTTGTTAGCGGTGTGGCTAATTCAGCCACGGCTCGCTTAGGGTTGATTTTGTGCGTCTATTGGAAAGGTAAGCATTACAGCAGTGTGGTTTAGCGTCTCTTGTATTGGTTTGTTATACTAATGTTAGCATTTCTGTACCATTTATAGCCGTATGAGATGTTAACTGGTTAATGTTTGCGACTGGTGTTTGGTCGGACTGCCTACTTGGCATCCCGTTGCTGTCAGCCCCTTGCATCTACACCGCTTCGCATAGTACTGGCTCTGCTTTGGTGTGGCGGTTGGCTGCATTATCTAGTTTCTGTTAGCGTCAACTTCTGCTTCTATACTGTTCAGTGCTCACGCCGGCCCTGTCAATTTAACGTGGCTGACTGCTGCAGTGTCCGGTATGTATAAATGAAGTGTTTAAGGGTGTCCGGTTTCATATATTTGAATTACCCTTATTTAATGACATGTTATTGTTTCTTTTTTTTTAGTAATATGTTGGAGGGTTCCTGCTGCAGTGCACGTGGTTTAGTCTGAACATCAGTCCCCAGAAATACGCTGCTGTCTTGTTCAGTTTGTCTAGTTTTGTTTTGTATCAGTTTAATTTTGCTTTGGTGCATTAGTTGCTTTTCTTTTATTTGCCTTTTCGTTGGATGGTTCATCTTGGCTTTATACTTTTAATATTTGTTTTATTTCATTCTGTGTGTGTTTCATCTTTAAAGTTTATTAATTTGCTTTTTCTTTTCATTGTCTTTGTGAACCAGTTGTTGGAAATTGTTTTTTTTTCTGTTGTGTTTTTGATTTTGTTAGAAATTGAGTTAATTATATTTTATTATAATTAAATTTATATATTTTTTATTTTTTTTTTTAATTCAGTGTGAATTAGTGTGCTGGTGTGTGTGGTTTATTAAGTTGATGTGGTTTATCTAATTACAGGTCCTGTGTGTCCCACAAAAAGCAGGGAGGTCGACAGTAATCTCACTGGGTATTGTGAGTGTGTGAATGTGTGCACTGATAGTGTGTGATAACTGAGATTTATGCTTCTTTAGGAGTTTGATACCAGTTGGCCACAGCCCTGTAAACCCTTTTGTGTGTTGTGTATTTTTGGAGATCAGCAGCAGGTAGTACTATCATTTTAAGTTGGTTATTGCTTGTGTGATTTCTTTTTAGCAAAATTTATTAATTGAATTAATAAAATAAAATATATTTCTGTACCCACGTCTCTTGCTCATATTTAAGTAGGCTTGAACCTGTGTTGCCTTGAGTTGCACCTGAGTGTGCGTAGTATTTGCCTGGGTGCAAGTCCTAGGGTGGTGTAGTCATCTCTCCAGTGTTACCGTTTCTGTTGCCCAACGCCACTTTGCTACACACACAAAAAGTATTCTCGTAGCTTCGTAAAATTACAGTCGAACCCCTCATGTCACATGGACTATTTTAATGATGTCCTTGCTACGTTTCTGTGCGTTGATCGTGGTAAAATCATTGCTGTCTATGGAGGGTCAGAGAGCTCTCAGATTCCATCAAAATATCTTATTTTGTGTTCCGAATAGGAACGAAGGTCTTATGGGTTTGAAACGATATGAGGGTGAGTAATTAATGACCGATTTTTCATTTTTGAGTGAACTCCGTTTTCTGGATTACAGCTGTTTGGGCTCTCATTCTGACGGCACCCATTCACTGCAGAGGATCCATTGGTGGAAAAGTGATGTAGTGATGAAGTAAATTTTCAGCAAATTATCTTTTTCAGTTTACTATTCCATTAATGATTTCATAAATGGTATGTACTCAAAATATATTCATTTACATCCTTACCTCTCTGTCTTTGACTTTCCTGTGATGAAAGAAACATCAAACTGTCAAGCTGAACATTTCTGTTCAATTAGAATGTTTAAACTATAAGCCATATGGAAGACATGTCCATTTGTTTACACTTACGTGTGCATCCGTACAAACAGATGCCCACAAGTCCAGTCAGCACAATTCCTCCACCACTCGCAACCACAGCAATGACGAAAAACATTTCTGTGTGAGACAAAGCTATCAAAGATTAACAAGAAATGCACTGTTGCATTAATGTATATATTTAATGTTCAGTGCCATCTGTTTTCCAGTGACTGTGCTGCACTGAATAAATGCATCCTCTGAGTAAAGTTACTTGTATTCGAGTACTTTTGGATTTCAGGACCTTCGGTCATCAAGGGGAAAACTGTAAAGAAAAACTGACCATTAGCATATCTGTATTATATTCAGCATGTTTATTCATCTTGTTTTGGCTGAACATATTCACACTTCACACCTGACCAATAGATTAATTGATCGACTTATTAAGCTTGGATGTAAATTGAGAAGTTAAGACCATATTTATAGAAATATCCATTTTATAGTATTTACCTGATGCATGTTCTGTAGTAGGAGTAAGCGTAGTCGATTCCAAGGATGTTGAGGCTTTGTAAATAAATCAATCAAATGTGTTTTGGCTACAGTAATGTTATAAATCAGAGGAGATGAGGACTCACCATTTGCAGGATCTGTTAAACTATGGCTGTCATGGGTACTTAGACTGGACATATCTGTAGTAACACAACAAATTTAGACGAGTGGATTTAAACCCAACCAATCAAAATGTTTGATCGAGGAAAATCATGAGAAGGAATGAAGCACTTACTGGTTATCGAATCTGTTATGATTTCAGTACTGGATGTTACAGCCAAAGCTATTGAACCCACAGAAAGAGTTACACTAGGTGTTAAACATATTATTAATGGGCAAATTATTGTTAACTGGATGATTATAATACAGATGTAATAATATGAGGTATGTGTACAAAATTAAATAGAATTATGTTGACAGTGGACAAATTTGCTGAAATGGATGTTTAAATGATTATGAAATCGCAATGATCAGTTTAGATTAAAGAGTGCTAGAATAAGAAAAACTCAAATTGGCCTTACAGAGTCTTTAAAAACGTATTTAAAGGACTATTTAGCTATTGGTCTATTGTAGATTTGAGTCTATCTATATAAAAGCTTGCATAATTATATTTTAGCAGATATACAAGTCTTTTTCTTTAGTGTTAAAGACTCGATGACTAAAGGTGTATATCAATTTTTGTTCAATGCAAATACAAGGCTCATGCTTATGACATTAGCTAAATCCTATTAGCGGTTTAAAAAGGGGGTGGCGACAACCTCCTCTGTGCCCTGCCCCAACTTAGCGTTTCAATTGGAAATGCATCACCGCAAGAAAATAAAACTCACTTTCAGCAACTGAAATGCTTCCTAGTATTTTCTTATGTGTCAAGAATATTACTTAATCCAAGTTATTTAAATTAAATAAATCTGGAAATTCCATGATAATTCCAACCTTGAAAGGCTCCATTGGGGGTCATTGTAGTTGGGCTGCCCTCTGTGATTGGTGGCAAAGATAACATGGCGGCCAAACCTTACAAGAAACAAAGACATCTGCTTTGAAAAGAATAAACCACTTCATCTGTCAATCAAACATAGTTTGTGATTAAACAGCTTACCTCTGACCCTGACTGAGACTATGTCGGAATGAGGTGATGTTCCATTTTCTCCTAAGGCATGCACAGTATAGTAGCAGGATATGTTAACATGTGAACTCTCATGATCTTGTGACCATAGGATCAGTTCGGCACCGGTAAGGGAAAAGTTACATGATGTACTTGGTTTAAAAAAGTTCTCCTGTCCTGCAGGGTAAAACATGCACTCAGATATATGATGATTCTCATGACCTCCACAGACCATCTGCACCTTTTCTTCATCAGTAGCAAATGTTGGAAATACTGTCAGCTTGGCCTGCGGCAAACCTATAACAAACATGAGACACACAAATTCACCTTTCCAACAAAATATTATAACAATTAATTAATTATTATTAATTTAATTGTCATTTTAATTAAATTTTTAATTATTAAATTATCATTATTAATTTTAAGCTCTTTGATGACAACACATGCACAGACATTTTTTTATTAATTTAATACATTCAAAAAACATAAAAATTGTCTTTGCATGTGTTAATGTCATTAAATTAACATACAATTCCAATATATGTATGCAGCTTATAATTGGACCAAATAGCATTTATGAAACAACTGACTCATATATATATATAAGATATATATATGACTCATATATATATATATTTATGAATATATATATAAATTGTTAAAGTAAATATTACATTAACATCTGTTCAACATTTGGGCAACACTTTAAAATGAGGTCTCTCAATGAGGTTAATGCATTAACATGAATTACCGAACAATGAGCAATACATTTTTACAGTATTATGTTAATGTTAGTTAATATATATTTTTATTTTTATGTTAGTTCACAATGCATTAACTAATGTTAACAATGTTTTTAAAAATGCATTAGAACATTTAAATCAATATTAGCTAATATTCATAAAGGCTGGAGATGTATCGTTCATTGTTAGTTCATTTTAACTAATGTATAATTAATGTTAGCAAATTAAACCTTATTGTAAACTGTTACTAACATTTGTAAAAGTCAGGTCTAGAGCTCTAAAATGTGTATACTTTATAATAAAAACAAAACTGCAATGTTCAAGGGTGAAGATGAATGGAAATGTCTGTATTATTATCTTTATAAGGCATAAGGGACCACTTACCTTGCGATTTATCCTCCAGTACAAGATGAAAGATTATGAAGATGAACAGGGCCATCTCACAATGTCTGCAAGCACTGTGAACAAATTTAAGATTAGAATTGAACAATAGACAGTACTCTGAAAGAGTCTGAGAGGGAAGTAGGTAATGAGACTTACCTTAAAATGGGCAAAATGGCAGTTCAGCTTGACATTTCTGACAAGAATCCTGTGCTATATAAAAATATATTTCTAACCAATTGCATGTATCAATTTCAGAATGAGATCAAAACTGAAAAACTGACAACACAAGAAAACTAAAAGTAAAAATCAACCTCCAGAAGCAGGTAGGTTCACATGGGTGATGAAGACATTTAAAAGGGAAGTTTACAGAATCACTTTCACGTAATGTATCAGCTTTTGTTAACTGAAACAAGAAGTACAATGGCCCTTAAAGTTAGATTATGAATCAGGCTAAGATTAAATGTCGCCTTATATGCAATACATAATGTCTGGATAGCAAATTGTTGGGTTAAGCAAAATGCTGAGTAATCAGGCCTATTTGCATAGAGACATTGTTATGCAGTTCTGAAAAAACAAAAAAACAAAAAACATTATGTTATGGAGTTCTGAAAAAAAAAAAAAAAAAACAGGCATCGGTGGAAGAAAATAGTGGACAAAATTTTTTTTTTTAATTTCTAAAAAAAAAAATTGTTGCAAGTGAAAAATTTGTGTTATGATCTGGCTTAATTTTCTCAGACTCCCCTATATAAAACCAGTGCAAGAAACAAAATCTCCTCTGATGTCAGTAAGGGATGCCTTTGTCCTTTTTTGAGGAAAAAAACAATGTCATCAATAAACCCCAGCAAATATTGGCCAGCAGCATTGTTTAGCAGATGGAAAATGTATATTTTTAGCCATTATAGAATTCTGTCTGTTTTAGGTGATATTTACACCTCCCCTCATTAATTTTCTGGACACATTGAAGACCAAACAATTTAGGCATGTTGTGCGAGGTCACCAATGA